AATTTGATTGTTGATGATTGGAACGAATATAGGCTCCAAGTCCTTGTCGAATACACAATAGATTAATAATGGAATCTTTTGTGACTTGAAATAAATCTGATTTTCCGTAAGCTGAGTAGAAATAATATTCATGAAAATATTCAGATAAGTTGTATACTTTATACCTGGACGTGTACATAATGACAAATAAAGTGTTGTAGGTGTTTTTTTCCGATTGTTGCGAAACACGTAATTGTCTTCGCCAAGGTACGAACCTAAGGATAAAATATACTGTAACATACCAACTGGATCGTACAAGTAAACTCGTGAATGTTCTTCCAACCACGCATTAATATAAGGAGAAACAATAAGAGATGGATCTAATCCAGCTTCATTATATACACGAGTTGTTGCACGTTGGATATGTTCAGAAGCAATCGACTGAGCAGATGCCATATTGCGTATTTTTTTTACGGACATCTAAAAAGGATGATCGAACGTGAAATGTATTATTTCAAAATAAACTTTGAAGTGTAAAGATGAAATTAGCAAACTTTTGCAAAAATTCACGTTCCTAAGGAAATAAACAACATAGTTTGTCCATTCCAATGATGGACGAAAAAGAACGGCTGATTAGCATAACGATTCGCTCTAGTTCAAAATTGCCGTCTACATTTGACTGATGATTGGTCCTCTATTTCGAACATGTAATTTCCAGACGAGTCCAGATTTGTCGGAAAAATTTAAAAAACAATTTTATGCAAAATAAAATTTTTGCTAAGTTTTTAAAATAAAATATAATTAGGAAAAACTAAAAATGTAATATAAGCCGGTTTATAATTATGCTTATTTTACATAATACTTAATAAGTAATTAGATACTAAATATCCTAATATCAATACGATTTAAGAAGACATAAAAACTTTGAAATAAAATACACAACACTTTTTCTACATGACGATATACTTATAAAAATGCTCCAGCTGATGCTTTCTAAATCTTGAGCTCATGAGTTCCTCATATAATAAATTTCCATTCGTAGAATTAATTATGGAGAAAAAACAACATCAGTTTCAATGAAACATAATCGAATATATAATGCTGTTTAAATATATATTATCATCATCAATGTATTATTTAGAAAATCTACCTTATCCTGCAAGCTTCAAACCGGACAGTAAGAAACAAATACCATGGAACATATTAATTGTTCTAGCAAGCTAGCTGTATTGATATGATTTTATTTGTTTGACCTGCTACGAATTATATAAATTTTATTTTCTCAATGATCAGTTTCTTCCCAGCAAGCTACATAACATTACTTGTATGGTGCATTTCACAAACCTTCATTTCAATTTTTTCGATTATATTTCAACGCTCATTTCGTAAACACAGACTAACAAAATAGTTTTAATACGATTACATCCAATTTCAATTCCGACTTGCTTTTCATGATTAAATTACAAGCGATATTGAATTATTTGCTACAGCTGTGCTCAAAAAAACTTGCACATCTACTCATACAAATATATCCTTATCTATATTCACTCTCAAGTTGCATTTTATACTGATTGATAGCATCTGACGAGTACTATTAAACACTATATTTCAACATTTTATTTGTTCATCTTTAGAAGAAATAAGAGACAAATATATTCTTTTCATGCACATCACGAATTTTTTTACAACATTAATTTCAGTACGTTTGAATTGTTCAGCCAGAAAGAGTTCTACTTTATCAACGTTTTTGAGTTTTTGTTTTTTCAACTTTGTCTGACGATCGACCATATATTCTTTATAAGATGCCACTTCAACAATTGTGATACATTCTTATTGATGAATTAGTAATATGAGTTGTGTGTTTGGGATCACTGTCATGTTGTAAACGTCAACTGCAACAAAAGTGTTTATTGTTCACGTAGATACGGTTTTGTAGTGCGTTCTCAATGACTTTTCTTTTATTTTCTTAAGGAATATTGCATTATTACATCGAATACATTGACGAATAGCTGACTTTTTCTATTCCACTGACGCCACTGGTCGGCCTTTACCATCTCGGTGTTTGAATGAATTTGTTTGTTTCCATCTGTAGATATTGTAATCGATAGTCCTGAGTGGAATATTTGCTTCACGATGAAAAGTAGGAGCAGATCGTACACCTTTATTCCAAGCATATAATATTGATGTATGATGACTTTTCAAATGACCCGATGGTGTCACGATTTGATATATGTGTATCTGAAAGAAATGCAACTACACTGCTGTATGTTCAACGTGTAGTATAGTTAACGAACATATATCTCCAGAACAAACGAATTTCGCAATTGCTTTCTCACGATAAGAAAACCTACACAACAGATTTCACTTTCTCGAAGTCTTTTTGAACGCAACTATCTCAATTAACACCTTTACACTTCAATAACAACACCCATTACCACCTAAATTTATTATAATCAACAAATACCAATTTCCAATAATAACATGTTGATCATTCAAATAAACTTTCCACATATGTGACAATAAATTGCTTCACAAGTCCGTTACACATTGCCAACTCATTCGATAGCTTGATTTCTGTTTATGACAATGCCTCATACGCTTTAATATCAAAAGATGAAGCGATTCCTGAATCTCGAGGAATTCAGATGAATTTCTACCAATTCCGCTTTTAAGCCATCCCAGAATTCCTAAACGGAACTGAATAACCAAATAATGTATAGGAGAAGGTCCAATATAAATAGAATATGTAATTCCGGAATTACACGGAATTCCCGGAATTCCTTCCAATTCCGCTTTTTAGCGATTCCGGAATTCCTAAACGGAATTGAATAACCAAATGATGCATAGGAGAAGCTCCAATATCAATAGATAATGCAATTCCGGAATCACACGGAATCGCTGAGTACAGCACGGAATTAGATTGAACGAGTTCCGGAATTGCAGGAATTATGTCAGTTGATTCCGGAATTGAATAAGCTTGTGAACATATAGAATTCCGGAATCGGTGGAACTGATTCCGCGGGCGGAATCGATTCCCGAAATGTGCAACATCGCGGAATAGGATGACTGCTCGATCAGTCGAGAATTAAGAGCAAAAAAACCAAATACAAATAAAAACGACTTAATCATTCACGACAAAGACAACTTAAGTAATTTGATTCTTTTTAAAAGGAATATTAGCATATTAAGTTTCATTTTGTCGATAGATAATTGTAAAGAAATGTCTAATTAAATCATGTATTTTCAGTTTATTAATATTTCTAAAGAATGATTTGGGTTGGAACAATATAATAGATATGAAGATTTCGGCGTCCGTGACCAGTCGTGTCACAAAAGTGTGGTCAATGTTATTGTGCAAGAATAGTCTAGGTTATTACGCAACAGATTGTTAAGTAGTATGCCATCACGTGCAATGACATACAAAGATTAAAGACGGTTTTCTGTTGTATTGCGTCATTAACTCAATAAAGTATATCATAAACGACGTCGCATTTTTTCCATTGATACTTGAACTCATTTTTATTGAGATGACGTCATGATGCAACATGTATTAGATACTAGTGAATCCTAAAAGACACCGCTACGTTATTGTATCATCATTGCATCAGTCTAAGGCAACAACGTAGAATAGTTGTAAAATGATGCAAGACGTTACATCAGACTCTCTTTCTAAAAATAATCAACAGTGTAGATATGTATAGTTGTATCTGTTCAGTAGTATCTAATTTTTGGTTTTCAATAAACATGTGATGGTACGATCATCGTTCAACCAATCTGGAAAGGTTAGAAACGCATCCTAACACTGAATTATAGATCGTAGGTTTTTACTGCTTAAATTGTGTAATTTATCTCTTACTAAGCGTTCGTGTATAAGAAAATAACCACCACTATATTAAATTAGATGACTATAAATGGACTATTTGCAGCGGTCACTGGCTTCTCTTGTGTAGATAATAACAAAATGGCAGGATGGGTAAACTAGATGTGCGTCGTAATAGGTTTGAAAGTTCATAACAAGACATGTATGCAACGTGATCCAAATCTATACTCAGATACAAAATCGTTGAATACTTGAGAGTAGTACGGAGAAGCAAAACATGAGCACCAACATTAAATCACATATATATGCAATCTTCAGCTCACTTTGAAAGTTCATTTTAATGTTATAGATAATACAAGAAAAAAAAATCATGGCCATCAATCAGAAAAAGTTACTCATACTTGATATTGATGGTACACTGATATTTGCGGAAGAAAAAGCAAAACTCATCCATATGCAAATTGAACAACGTCATCATTTTGAGCTAGATGGAGGATCAATTTTAGTGTGGAAACGTCCAAATATTGACGAATTTCTTGAATGGTGTTTTGAACATTATGATGTTGGTATATGGTCGGCATCAGGTTCAGAATATGTTCATTCTGTGCTAACTCACATTATTGCAGATCATTTGAGATCAAAAGTAAAGTTTATTTGGACGTCAGCAAGATGTACAAGAAAATATCAACAGCGATCGTTGGACACATATGCAATGCCAATCACAATAAAAAGATTGAGCAAATTATGGAGAAAGAAGAAAAGTAGATTGGACAATCTTAATTCAATTGACAGCTATAATAGACGTAACACTTTGATACTCGATGATACTCCTTCAACCTATCAGAAAAACTATGGAAATGCAATTCCAATAACCTCTTACACTGGAAGTTCGAGAGATTTTGAATTGAAAAGAGTTAAACATATTTTAGAATTATTAATCTCCTCGAACGATGTGAGGACAGTGGACAAACGACCATAACTTGAATATGTAAATAAAAATATTATTACAATACTAAATTATAGTTTTTTCGAATAACTTATATTTT